ATGGAAATTTGGGTCAGAAACCTTATCAGAGGCAAGCCAACCTAGGGCGACCTTCAGTGGAAGCCTGAGTATCAGATTCTTAATTTGTTTACCCGAAGGTAAATGCTGAGTGATGCCACTGGTGTGTAGGCAATTAATTGGGATGTTCACTAGTGCAAGGACAATACTTGAGAATGAACCTATTTAGGAATGTCATCCTGAATGATTTACTGACTACCTCTCTAGATTACTATCTAAATCTACAAAGACCCTGAATCTCACATAATCTCAGGCAATGGCAATAGTCTTCCTCTCTGATATCCATATATGAGCGCTCTTTGTGGTACACACAGCATCATTTGATGTGGCTGAGAGCTAGTTATCAAATCCAAAATGACCCTTGGACTTTAAAAGCCCAAGAGATGGAGGAAAGGGAGACGCAGCTACACAGGGAGCTGTGCTTAGAGAAGTATTTTTGGCCTTGTTGAAAGCATGGGAAGAACCAAAGGATCCTAGCAAACAGGAGTGTTAGGAGCTGGCTAATCCCTCTGTACAACACAGAGCTGCCATGTGCAGAGCTGAACTCTGGGAGATGCCTCTCTTCAGCTGTAATTGTGTTGTTTATAGTAGGCCATTAAAAGCACGAACCCATTTCTCGTGTGGCTGGTTTTTATAGCACTTGCATTTTTGCACATCTTATTATAATTCTGCTTAAGTTAGCTTTGGATACATCAGATCTTTGGGATTAGCTCTTTCCTGAACAGGGGAAAACTGCATACAAAGTGAGGAGAGAGACAGTATATGGGGTCTTCCAAAACAGTGCTGCTTGTCAGGAGCAGCTGCCTTAGAGAACATGTTTTTCGGCTTTGAGGGTGGCCTGCTTAGCCTGAGTATTTCACCATGCTGAGGAGGCAGCCCTGGTATTAATTCACCTCAAAGAGCAGGTTGAAGTCATTAAAATATTTTGCAGGTGGTTCCTTGAATTCATGGTGCAGCTGGATGCAGCCTAAAGGGAGGGAAAAAAAAAGAAGAGGAGGTAAGTTCTGATGAAACACAAATTAACCTAACTCATAGAAGCGAAAAAAATCTGGTTTCAATCTCTACAACAAAGCTGAGCTACACATCAAGCTAGAAAGGAGAAATGTCAGCCAGCCAGCGCCTGGGATTTTATTGCTTTAGCACAAGTGCTTCTTCTCGGGTCCCGCGGGAGTGCCCAAGTGCTACCGCAGGCAGTGGGGAAGGCAGCACACACAGAGGCATGCCTGCCCACTCGGCGCCGAGTGCCAGCGCCCCGCTGCCTCGCAGCACTGCCACAGCCCCATGCCTCCACCATGCCCACCTGCTCCTGTGGGAGCACCACAATGAAGCAGGGGCGGAGGGGCAAGAGGGGGACAAATCAGTGCATTCCTCTTCCATCATCTCCCCCAAGTGGAGTAAGCCTGCTAAGCAAGAGGACAACTCCCCAGGCAAAATCGGAGTTTACAACCTCAACTGCTGGGCGTTGAGACTCCTTGTGCTAGTGTTTATGCTGGAGGAAGATCTTGCCTGCAGCTAGTACCGGCTCAAGAGTCTCCTCCACAGGTGGTCTCTAGATTTTGGCGGCCCAGAAACCGAAAATATTCACTATAAGGGCCCTGCTCACATGTGGGTTCAGGTTCCAGCTTTGTTTTAATGCCCCGGTTGTTCAGAGGTTGATTTCAGTCTCTATCCTACATGGAAACTCTCCTTGATTTCAGTCTCTATCCTACATGGAAACTCTCCAGGCACCAGATCATTTCTGTCCTTCAGAGCTGGATCCTCTCCTTTTTTAAGATGTGCTGACCAGGCTTGAGCAGGACAGTCAGTGGGACCTAGTTCAGAAGGACAAGCGAGACACCAGGCCTGGCTCCTCCTGAGCTGGAGCCTGCAGGCAGATCACTCATGCCTTGAACTCAGCAGTGCCCCCAGATGTCAGGGGGCTCTGAAGACCTTGGTAGTTTTACGGGGATAACAAGGCATTTTAGGATAAACGCAAGTCATACCAAAGAGCTTACTAGTATGTCAAAATTTTCCAACCCTGTTTGTTCCAAAAAGAGAAAAAGAGAGAAAAATCAGGTGAAACAGGAAAAAGCCAAGCTACTTTATGAACAGACAGCTGCGGAGGCAGTTGTACAGCTCTGGTCACTGACAGCTTCGCAGTGTGTGTCTATCTATCATCTCCTGCATCCTAGGTCAAACTACCACTAGCTGTTACCACGGGAGGACAGTGTTGTCTGATGGTAGGGTTAATACTTTTTTTTTTCAAAGCCCATCTGCAGAAATATGAGTGCCTGTGTAGGGATGAGTGGAGGCTGTCAACATTTTTGGCTGCCACTCTCACTTCTCCAGTTTAGAGGAGATTGCAAGAATGGTGGAGGCTGCTACCCTGGCTTACAAGGCATAGGGTCTATTTGTGTCCTCGCCTCTTCTCTTTCTCACCTTTGGAAGGCCACCAAAGCCCTCCAAATTCTGCCCATTTATGCCTAGGACATTTCCTGACCTTCTGGAATCAATTAGGTGGGTTTGTAAAAATTACCATGTTGTAGATAAATGAAGAAACACCTCTGAGCGAGGATGTCTACTCACTTGGGAAACAAATGAGGGAGACTGCCACCTGCCTGTGCCTGCTGTCCCGGGGCTGGGACAAAGTCCTGACCAGGAGGTGGCCAGGGCTGAAGAGTAAGAGCAGAAGTTGCTGGTGCTTGGGGACAGCCTCACCCATAAGGACTTCCTGCTTGTCTGGGAGGGTTCTGCCCATGACAGCAGCCGATGAGCACCAGCAGTGGATGTCCTGTTGCGTCCCTGCTCAGATGCCGTGTCCTTGGCTTGCCTGCTTACCCAGCACTTACACTCAAGTGCCCGGAAGGGGACAGGTGAGGACAAACTGAAAACCTTAGGCTCTTCCTGGAGATCTCAACAGAGCATTTCAGGCCAGGCAGGAATAGCACCAAAAGGGAAAGGGGCCAGGGCTTCCCAGCAGAGAGGGCTGGCGGATGGGTCTGCTTGGCCTGGCTGATGTGCGCATTAATGTGCTGGAAACTGCTATTCTATTAATAACCCCATTGTTTCAGCAAGCCCTCCACCCAAGGAGACTGCATTGAATCAGCGGTTTCTTTTCTTTTTCCTTTCCTGATTTAGTAACCCCTGTTGCACAATCAAAGTCAATCTATTGCTGTCGGCAGTGATGGCACAGCAAGAAACAAAAGATCACAGAACGAAGGGGGTCGGCAGCTACCATGAGCTCTCCCCGAGGCTCAGCAAGCTCATTGATACGTGATCTATGATGCCCTTGGCACGACAGCGATCCCCTCAAGCCACGTGCACAGAAAAATGGTTCTTCATGAGAAATCTGCTGTGTGTTTGTGTACGCTTACACCTAGATGGAAACATGGCATGACACTTCCAGGTGGCCAGTTGCTCACCTAACTGATGTGACTCTGGTAACACGTGGAGTTGCACTGGTGTAAATTAGGTGTAAAGAAAAGGAGAGTCAGGCTTGATGACCCATGTAGGCAACCACAGCTGGATAGGCAAAGCGGGGTGGGATTACAGCTTTCATATTGACCTTCCCAAAATAGCTAAGTGCAGAATTGACTTTGAACCCTGGAGCACTGCAGATCAGGACTGTCAAAATCAGGCACCTGGTTCTTTCCTCTGTGTCCCCACTTTTACATCGATCTCACCTGCGCTATTAAGAGTTGAATGAAATGGCCACAGCATGGCTACAAGAGATGGGGAAAACATTCCCCCAAACTTCTTTCTGAGGGGAGGAGGACACAAAGATCTAGTCTTAGCCTTTGCCTTTTGAAAAGGCTTTTTGAAAACTACAGCTGCCAGCTTCTTTTTTAATATTTTCTGAAGTAAAATGCATTAGCCTCGCTGTGTTGTTAAAAGCCTTTCTGCTGTAAATCAGCCTGCTGTCTGCACGCAGCTGAATCACATCCATCCCTACAAAGAGCCACTTGGCAACACAAGTGTGGCCGTGCCTAGCTAATCACCTGGCCCAGCAGAAGCAGGTGGCTTTAGGCTTGTGCAGAACTGAGTGGTCAGTTCAACCACCAAAACTGTCAGAAACGGGCTGGACGTAAGCCCTTACCTGGAGGTAGGCAATATCGCTCCACTTAAAATTCATCCAAGGTTTACCCAAGCACAGGATCACAAGTAGAGTGCGTGCCCCGGTGTTCACGGTGACTCAGCTGATGGGTGCTAACCTCTCCAGCCACCCTAACTGACCCTTTGCAATGAAGCAAGTTATCCCAATTACTTTGTCAGGTGTAACAGTAATAACAGAGGACTCCCATTCCTGCCTGCTGGTGTCCAACCAGGTTGCAGCTGTGTAGGCATGTTTGAAGGGAGAGTGCAGAGGAGGACTTCAAAACTCTCATGAGCTTTTGAGAAGAGGGCAGCTGCTGTGGAACAGTGTGTTGGGTGAGGAGCCTCTGTCCTGCTCTGGCTGGTGGCTTCTGTGTGTTGTTTGGGTGAGTCATGTCACTTTGCAAAATCAAAGGGTAATCAAAATGCCATGGTAAGGGCTATGGTCGTGAGTTTTTACAGGAAGTGAGCAAAGAGGAGGTGGAGTGGTAGAAATTGTATCTGTGGTGGAGGGAAATGGATCAAGTAGGAAATGAAGGCTAGAGAGAGCCTTCTCCAAAGGAGACAGAGGCTTTTTTTTACAGGCCTGTCTCAGTGCAAGTTAATGTGTCTTTTACTACTGCTCAGCACCTAGCTGCCCCTCCCAGGGGCTGGGTCTGAGGTCAACACTTAACCAAGCATCTCCTTGGCTACAGGAGGAGTTTTGCTTGTGTTAGGATCGACTCAAATGGCCACCTTGTGTCCAAACCCTATGAAGCCTGTTGTAGAGATGTTGAATAGCTCGGCTGCATTCGCGCCGCAGGCCCCGTGGGCCCAGCGTGCTGGGGTGAGTGCTCGGGGGAAGCTGCACATCCTAGCTGTGGGAGTTTTGAGGAACTGTTCGAATTACCACATCAGGGTTCTCATAAGTCTATAAAAACTGAACAGATAGGCAAAGCATATCAGAAAGCATATCAAATCACTAGGCAGAGAGGAAACCCCTTCAGTTCTTTGTTGTCCATAATCTGGCAAGATTTTAGGCTAGCCACAAGAAATTTGTCATGGAAGTTAAAGATAGACACAAGGGAGAGGGAAATTCAAGTGATGTGAACACTTTGACTCTTTCAGACAAGATTGGGTTTGCTTCAGCTGCTGTTACAACATTTCAGATAAGTGGTAAGATTTTTTTTTTTGTTAAAGGGATTGATATGATTTTATCTGGTCTATGAAGAAAACAGCACATGAAATAGAATATTGCATTTATATTGCGTATTAAATGCTTTTTTTACAGTGACATTTGCTCCTAAATTAACTGACCATGTAAAAAGAGAAGTATGTGAAAGTATCTTTTCTAGGCAAAAGCTGATGCTGAGCATCAGAAAATATTAGTTCCTTTCCCTGTTTTAGAAAGCCTAATTTCACTGAGTAAAATTTTCATGCCTTAATATTGAAGATACTCAAATCAGCAGATCCAACAAAAAAAATAAGTTTATGAATTTCAGTTGAATATAAATATAGTATTGCTGACTAAACCATTCTACTGTAAAACTAATTAAATCATTGTACTCTTTTAAAGCTAAGGCTTTAAACTCCTGATTATATTACTTTGAAAAAACTCAATTAAGGCTAACTTACTGTATGTTTGAAGTAGTTATTAATGCCTCTGAAATACTTTGAATTTTGGCCTTTAGGGAGAAAAAAAAAAAAAGAAGAAGCTTTTCTTTTACGTTTGCTGGTGACGATTTGTGTTAGAAGCCCTGACTTGTTGTCATTTGTTCTGCCGTTCAGTTTGTTATTAGTTTTTTTTTTGCATTTATTTCAGTTGATATGTACATCACTGCTCACATGTACCCAGTGCTCTGGAGATGGCACGTCCTTTAGAGAAACCTCTTTGAATGGCAGCCTAGGACAGCTAAATGCAATGACAGCAGGGAGTTTATTCATGCAGAAAGGGAAGAACTACTGTATTTGTACTGTTATAGGTTGGATTAAGTCTTGATTGAAGTGAGCGGATTAAAACAGCTAAGGAAAAGATAGCTAAGTGTGAATTGCGGTGCAAAGCACAGGCATGTGCAAGGGAAAGGAGAAGGCAGCCTGCAGCTGTTATGGGACCTTGCTCTCCCGGAGGGACCCAGCTGCTCTCCGTCTCTGGAAAGCACTTGTCCTCTATCATGGCCTGAAACGGCTGGAAGCGAGGGTAGTTTGCAGTGTGAGAGGTGTGAGAGGATGCCTACCCTACTTCTGTTGGGTTTCAGAGCCTCAAAGCAAAAGAGCGCCATCTGCGTGCTGTGCTCGGGCGGCCCTTACCGTCTACCTGCTGCTCCTGACGGCTGGCCAAGCGCTGTTGGCATACAAAGGTAACTCATCAGCCTCGCTGCAGGCTCGACAGCAAAAGGCAGCTTTGCCGGGTGCCCTTTTGCAGTGTGCTGTTCCTGGAGAGCATGGCTTTGAACAGCCATGGTGAGCGGAGGGCACCATGTACCCCAGAGACCCTCTCTGTCCTCCAGCCTCTCCATCTCAGGCACCTCCTCTCTTTGCAGAGACCCATCTCTCCCTTCTCCTTTTTACACAGGAGCCCCATGTCCCCCTTCCCTGCAGGGAGGGAACCTCTGCACCCCTCTTCCTCACAGCACACCACCTCCAAGCCCTTGCCCCGAGAGCATGTCCCCCTTCTGTCAGGTCCCTTCCACCCCGCTGCAGTGCCCTCCTGCCCTCCTAGCACCACTTTTGTGAGCGGGTGGGCAGGACCCCAGGCTGCTGGAGGTGCTGTAGAGAGCCCCTACACCTGTCGAGAGGGGATGGCAGGAGCATGCTCAATGTGTGAAGACCAACACACCTAAAAACACCTCCCCAGGTCAGCTGAGAGTTTAGCTCAATTCTCCTGCAGAAAAAGATTTCCTTTCCCACGTGCACTAAGGAATGATTTTACACAACAGGCATTGTCCAGGGCATATCAGGCCAGGAATGCTTACTGCATGGCCCTTCTGTTTTCTCAGTGTTTAAGATGCAGAGAGATATGTCAAAAATTCAAGGAAAAAACACCTCCTACTCAGAAGAGATGCTGGAAAGCTCCTTTGCAAACAAACTTATTTTGGAGAAAAACTACATAGAGAGGGACATGAGACCTGAGGAAAATTGGATGAGAAGCTTAGAAGAAGAAGTCAACATAATTAAAAACAGCAATGAAAACTTGATGATGATGATGAACAACATCACCCTGGCTGCAGGTATGGCTCCTTTTCTCCACAACCTTCTGCTCTGCTGTGCCAGTTATTTGGTGGGGAAAGCCAGTTCATCGGTACAACTAGCAAAGACCGAGGCCCTTGCGATGCCTGAGAGCTGCAATTCTTCTGTATGAGACTGCACAGGGCAGATCTTCAGCTGGGCTGAATTCTTGTGACACTGTTGTTCCAAGAGCCATGCAAGTACCATGGAAGGTGCAGGCCCCACAGAATTAGCAAGCTAGTTCAGACAGGTGAATAACTAGGACAAGACATGGTCACTGCTACATTGCTCTTCTGTCTTCTAATTAGTAACACTCAAATGCCCAGAGTTAGACACTGGTTCCTGGCTGGGGAGCTGGAAACACCCCTAGCCACCAGCACAGCCCCCTCTGTGCACGTGTCCCCTGCATGCACATGGCGCTGCACAGCTTTGCTTCTGCACATCCACAGCCTGGCAGCTCCCTGTGCAGAAGCAAATACAGCTCCAGTCTGCTCTCCCCTCCAGCATGCTTGTAGGCACCAGCTCTGACTGCAGGGTGATGTCTTCAACTGAGCGCTAAACCTATTAACCCCATTCTGGTACATCATTTACTGAGCACTGACTACTGAAAAATATTAATTTAATATTCATTTCAGGGCCTCCTGGAAGCAAAGGAGATCCTGGTCCACCAGGTATGTAGGTGTACAAGCCATAAGCAACTTTCGCTCTCCCCTCCCCCTCTCTGTCTCTCTCTCTTTCTTTCTCTCTCTCTCTCTCTCTCTCTCTCTCCTTTCTTCCTTAAGAAATCTGAAGTGAGGATTTGAGACTTCAGTCTCTAGACCCAGATCATACAAAATGTGCAGAAAGCCAGTTCTCTGGGAATGAAGGAGACTTGCTGCACCTTTTGACTCATCTACTGGGAGCCTAGGCTTGCTGCCTGCATGCTTCCCGCAGTGGTAGAGTGACTATAGAAGAGCATTTTGACTTTGCCTCCTTACTGCTACTCAGCCAGAAAAGATCAGATGTGATATAGGAAATGAACTGTATCTGATCATTATCTGCAATAACCTTCCCAAATCCCTGATTGAGACAGGACAGATCCTGTGAGTACCATAGGTGGTTGGGAGCTGGGGTGCTCATGAAGACCAGTTTCAGATCCCATTTTAAGTGGAAAAGCCTCTGAAGGAGATTCCAAGATCCTGATGAGATTCAGACATGGTGACCGGAGCTGAGATTCAGTGGAGGTTGTCAGACCTCCCTAGAGAGTGCTGATTGCCTCCTGCTCAGTTCAAACTTAGAAATAATACCACTGCTTTAATATTGCATAAGGAGTCAGCGATTTCTTGGAGCGGAATCATTTCAGGCCCTGGGAAATGAAGGCTGTCATCCTTTGATTCAGGTGCCAAAGGAGAGAAAGGAAGTCAAGGTGAAAAAGGACACGCAGGTGAGTTTTGAAGTTCTTGCTCTCGCTTTTCCTTAATAATGAAAGAACTGGGAGCTGATGGAGCTGGTTCTTGGGAGATGGCTGATGGACCTCCAGCTCTTCAGAGCTCCTCAAAATGCACTGCAGCGTGCTGAAATGGGCATTTGGACAGCTCCCCCAGAGGTGGGAACCAGCATCATTTCACTGCAGTCAGTTGTACTGGGCCACTTTGCATCAGCTGAGTATATGAACAGAAATGTATTGGAATGGGATCGTGTCCCTGGCCACTCAAACCAATAGGATTTTTGCCTCTGATTTCAGTGAAGCTGGAATTTGACCTGCAGCCCCTTATCTACATTTGTTTATTGTATTGCTAAATCTGTCTTTAAGGAGAGCCAGGCAAGAATGGAGATATGGGTCCCAAAGGACCACCCGGAAACAAAGGAGAAACTGGGTCACAGGGTAAGTAGTCACACAAAAATGACAGATCACAGCATAGGAAAGAGACACAGTTAACACTGAAGGTTATCAGAGCAATACAAGAATGATTATTTTTTTTTCTTTTAGGGCTCCCAGGAGAGAAGGGTGAAAAAGGTAATTCATAGAAACAAACTCCTGTGACTTCTTTTCCCCCTCACACAAAACAAGTGGGCAAAGTGAGCAGCTGACTTGTGGGAATGTCAGGGACTGTGTATTTGCCTTGAACAGAAAGACGTAAGAACATCCTAATTTGCAAAGGCAAATGAACCTGTGTTTTTCTGCCAGCAGTGCAGGAGGTGCAGTACAGGGGCCCAGAGAGAAGAGGTGTCAATGCCTTTCATGCCTACTGGTTTCAGTCTTTTCAAAGCAACTAATTCAGTTCTCCTCCTCCTATCCCCCACCAATTCCACTTTCAGGTGATCCAGGGGAAAAGGGTGCCCAGGGTCCTCCTGGTGCAGTCAGTACCTTGAAAGGAGAGAAAGGTTCAGCTGGAAGAGATGGATTTCCAGGTGAGGAGTTCCTTACTTCTGTAGGACCTGTACCAACACCAGTCTGTGGAATAGCCATGGGCTGAGCCCTTCACAGTGGAGCTAGGTAGAGATGTGCTGACAGGAGGGGACAGCCCTAGCACACAATAATCATCTTGTGTTGCAAGGCTCTCAGTTACTCAGCACCTGCGGTGGCAGCCGCTGCAGCTGACGCAACAGCCATGCCCTTTTCCTGCCTAAGGGCATGCTGCAGCCATCTGCAGGAGCTTGTGCCATGGTAGGTCTTACTTGGCCTTCTTCTCTCCCTGCAGGAGCACCAGGAGCCACTGGCACTCCAGGAGAGAAAGGAGACAAGGGAGACATAGGTAAGAAAGGAGAAAAACAAAATGAAGTGAGGAAGTAACTATCTTCTGCCAGTAATAGTGGTGTTTTACTGTGATGGTTGAAGGACATAGGCAGGACAAGTCCACCAACTAATGTAATAAAGGATTTTAATTCTGCAAAAGACCTTGTCCAGCCAATACGACCAGAACAGCAAAGGGGAAGTGAACTATTTACCAGGGGCTCATGTTTATCCCATGGCTGGGCTTTTTCTCTCATGCCAATACAATTCAAGGAGATTTCATCAATCCCTGCTCTGTATGACCCCAGCCAAACAGTGCACGTAACGAATAGTGACAAATTCAGGTCTTTACCCCTCCTGTCCCTGGGAAACTGCCTGCCCAGGCTCAGGAAGGGGCTGGGAGAAAGTGCTCTCCTCTGCAGCCCTGTCGAAGCTGCTACCCCTGCTCAGGGTCCCCAGGTGTTCTGGGGTGGAATTATACCCACTCCAGGAGATAAATGTCTCCAGACTGTGAGGATGCAGCAAGTCCAGATCTAATGTTGGCAACTGTCCTGCTTTGAGTGGAGGCTGGACCAGGCAATTTCCAGAGAAACCAATGTTTCTATGACCCTATGATGATGATCTAAGATGCAGTCGTTGTTAAGTCAGATATGTGTCTCATCTATCCCTAGTTCTTGGCTACACTGAGCTTTTCTGAAGGAAAAAAAATTAATTCATTTTTTTTGAAATCATGTTTTCATAACTCCCTGGCTGCACTTACAACATTGAAACACCACTTCCAGCCAAACACTGTTCAGTGCCTGCAATATTATGTATCATAGTTCAGTGCCTTTTCAGGAAAGATTCCCCAAAGGTCCCTGTCAGACTGCGGTCAACGGGGCTTGGCCCACAGACAACTGGCCCGTCCCCAGCCATGCAGTCAGCCTGGACTTCAGCAAAGCAGTTATGCTGCCGTATGCCAGCTGAAAATTGGGCTCAGTGGTGACAGAAGGAATGCGCACAAAGAATGATTAAAAAATTCATCTCTTATTTCTAGTCATTACTGTGATAGCTGATACACATCTATCTAGCTGATACATCTGATATACGAATTTTACATTTCAGGGCCGCAAGGGCCACCAGGGACAAAAGGAGACCAAGGAATCCAAGGTAAAGCATTTCTGACACCCGAATTACTTTTGTGGACGAATATAACATGACTTTATGGATTTTATGGACAGTCTTGTCCTCAGTCACAGAGGTAAGCTGGTAGTAATGCCATCGGAGCTGAAGGAAACAAACCTATGCATGTTTAATGTGAACACTTGGCCAGAAGAATTCTTATTTTAAAGGTAAATAGTTAGAGCCAGTGTACTGGCCACAGTTATCTAATTCCCTGTGACCACTGGCACTACTCTCAAGTAGGCTGAGAATGGAGTTTGGCTCATGTCTCCAGCTGAGCTGTGTGGGCTGCTACTCACAGTCGCTAAACATTATACTCAATAAAGCATGAAAATCTGGTGTTTCCCATGCAGGTTTACAAGGACTTCAGGGTGTAAAGGGAAGTAAAGGAGACTCTGGCCCTGCTGGCCCAAGTGGTGAACCAGGAATAAGAGGAGAAAAAGGAGAGATGGGTCTTGCAGGTAAGACTACTTAACTATCTCAACATATTTAAGATTCTCCTGTGTATTCCTGTTTACATTGGTTCCAATTAAAATATCTGATGAAGTCTTCAGATCTGGGTTTTTTCCATAAAAAGCCAGGTAACCCTGAGCATGGCTCGCCAGCCCACAAGGGAGCTGAATGAATAGGACAGTCTGCCTAATTCGAAGGAACTTCATTTTGTGTTACGCTCCAGCATAGCTCCGAGAGGAGGGCTGGGGGAAGGGGACTTGCAAAATGTTGACTCTGCACCATGGAAGTCTCTTTATAGAGCTTCCCTTGTCTAACAAAAGCCACAGGTATTCAATTATCAGCCTCTTCCAGATTAAAGCAGTGATGTTTGCAGTAGGATTTTCATGTTATAAACTAATACAATATAACTTATATGCACAAGCATGTGGATGTTAGGCCTCACTATAGTAAAGCCTATTTCTGAAAGCTTTATGTCTTATATAATCCTGACTTTTATACAACTTAAGTAGAGGAATTATGCAACGTGTTTCTCCTGTGTAACATGCATTAGTGGGCGTCTCCTGGACAACTGCTATTCAACGGGCTCACGTGGGCTGTGCCCAGAGAGGAAAGGCTGAAAGCAGGATAGCAAAAGAAAGTAAAAGATGTTTGTGGCACAGCTGAGGGAGGATGTTTGGGTAGGTGGGCTAGAGCTTCCTCAGAAGTAAGTCACCAGATCCTGCAGCCTCCAGTGGAACTGCTTCTTAGCATGAGCTCCAGAAGAGAAAAGGGATATTCCTTCCGCTCCAAAGACAAGGACTTTGGGATAATTCTGGAGTAGAAGGGTGAAGGAGAGCTCACTCCTTAGAAGAGGTATTTTCAGGTACTTCAGCTCTGTCAGACCACATTGATCATCTGCTCAGAGAAGAGAAGGCTAAGGAGAGCCACAGCAATTGTCTCAAAGCACAGGGACTGAATAAAGTGTCCTCAGTCTCTACTGTGGGTAGGAAGAGGAAAGGGTTTAGGCTGCAGTAATGGAGATTTAGAGAAGAAAACCTTCTAGTAGTAGGGATAGTTTGGGAATAGACAAAGGAGGTGCAGCCTCCATCCTTGCAAGTCTTTCAGACCAGGTCTGACAAACATCTGGCAGAGCAGTCAGCCAGAGCCAGTGGATGGTTCAGACCGTGAGGTCCCGCCTAGCCCTGCCATCCTACAGGGCATCCCCTATAAATGCAAGTGTGAGGCCGAACTCTCACACTTTGTGAAGCTAGATGAAGATGCTCCACTGGCTTCAGAGATGATAAATTTGTTTTTATGATTTTTACACATGTGCTGTATTGTCTGGTAGGTCTCCAAGGACAGAAAGGCAAAATGGGTGAGAAGGGAGATCCTGGGCCCCGTGGACCCAGGGGTCCCCAGGGAGACCGAGGAGACACAGGACTGCCAGGTTTCAACGGTAAGTGAAGAAGACAGAGCACAGACCCCCCTGTTAGCACATGTATGCAGTGGTAGAGGTCTGGGGGTAGCTGAAGCCTTTGGTTAAGCTTCATTAGCACTGACATCAGTATCTTGTTACAGGTAGCGCAGGGGAGCCTGGACCTCCTGGGCAGAAGGGAGAGGCAGGTAAGCTGTGCAAAAGATGCACAAAAGGTGATCTCTCTTTAACGTGGTGCTTGATGACACGGAAATCCATATCTGGACTAGATCCAAACATGAGTAAGAGACAACGGTGAGATGAAGAAACCACGCTAACATTGTGCAGACCCATCCCACAGCTGAGGATGCCTTGGCTAGACTCCATTCACAGCATGCATGAGAACGAGGGGGAAAAATGAGGATCCTCTAACATGGAAGGCTACATCCTCCTTCCTGAGAGTGTATGCACACAAAGGGCAGAAACTGGCTGCTCTTTTAGGAAAGCACTTGTGCTACTCATGGCTAGCAGTCTGCAAGGCCCCAATTTCCTACAGCCTTTCACTGCACGGTTAAGACTGACGCTTCTGGGGGAGGATTGCGATTTGGAAAGAACCACCATTTGTTTCACCTCCATAGAGAACTCGATCTGCAAAGCACAGGGCCTGGTGATTTAGCTGTCTTGCAGTGGTTCTTTTTCTCCTTTATGTTTTGCTTGCATTTCATTTCATATGCACTGCTTTTGCTCAATGTCAAGGTTTAACTGGAGGACATGGTGCCCCGGGAATTCCTGGTTCTGACGGCAGACCTGGTCAGAAAGGAGAGAAGGGGTCCCAAGGACCCAGCGGTAGTCCAGGTATAAAGCTACTAACATCTGTAACTGGCTGCTCTCCTAAACTGATCTTGCTGTGTGTGACAGCTTCTTCTTTGTCGAATTGCTTTTAATTTCAGGAACCCAAGGCGAGAGGGGACTTAAAGGTGAAAAGGGAGACAGTGGAAAGGCAGGTAAAGGAGAATACAACAGGCTTGGTGGATGTTTTTAACTCTTCATTTACATAGTGCACACAACCTCCCATAGTCCCTCTACCAAGAGGTAAAGAAGATCAAAGATCAATCACCCTTCTGCATTCATCCTATACCTAGATAATAGGAATGGGAGTTGCCTGGCCTAACTTGGTGTTTACAGATGTCAGACAAACCTGAATTCATGTGTCTAGGCTCTCTGTACAGTCACTGAAGATACGCTCTATCCAATCAGTGGAGTTTAGGATGTGCTGCAAATGACCACAAGTAAAAGCAGGAGGTGACTCTCCACTGTCTATTATCTTCTGCATAGATTAGGTTCCCATTGCTTATAATGGGAAACAAGACACCCACTTTAGAAATAGACCTCTACAGTTTAGATAGCTAAACTGGGCTGCCTGAAACCCACCCTAAATATTGGTTTGCATAAACTTAATTTGCATAAATACTTATGTCTTATAAATTTATTTTGGTTTTGATGACCTTAGGTCTTCCAGGGCCAAAGGGAACAAAGGGAGACCAGGGTCTACAAGGTAAACACTTGTTCTACAGCATTGCTTTATCTGAGATATTCATTCAGAAAAGTACTTTAAATGCAATGGTTCACTTCTTGGTGTCATTGCAAAATGGTTGATGTGCTCTTTCCTTGGGACTGACAAAGGTATTGGCATTCTTGTATTTTCCACCTAGGTAGACCAGGACCAACTGGTGAAAAAGGAAGCAAGGGGGATTATGGCATGCCTGGCCCAAAGGGGGCACCAGGGATAAAAGGAGCCAAGGGAGATACTGGACTCACTGGTAAGGCTGTTTGCCACAATATCTGGTGGTTGTTTGGGTTTGGGAGCATACACTGTGCAAAGGCACAAGCTGTTCTGTGCCTCCAGGCACAGCGCTTGTTTGGAGGAACTCAACAGACAAATCGGTCTTCCCAGAAAACGCATGTGTGGGGTGTCACAGTCGCAGCTTGCTGAAAGATATGCAAGTGCTTTTAAATAGATGCATCAGGTTTTCTCAAATCCCTGATCCCACAGAAAATTGGAACAGTTCATGTTCCTGTTTCCATTCTACAGCGACATTTTGCAAAGTAACGTGTCCCTGCAGCATACCCGGCAGTTGGGAACACAGCACCAAAACGCTAGGACTGTTTAGCTCACCCTCGGTAACTGCAGGACACCACTTAAAAACTAGACGGTTCAGAAGGGCCTATGGTGGAGCTACTGCATGTGTTTCCCTACTTCCCTTCCAGTCGCAGACTGCTTACTCATCTGTAGGCACTGACCTGAAGTTCTCACACAGCGTCACATGGTGTCCCAAAGCAAAGGGCAGTAATTCTGCTCCAGAGAAAAATAAAAAAAGGTCAGTGACTGGAGGAGTTAAAAATAAATAAATAAAAAGGGGAGTTAGGGCTCAGTGAAGTACATAGGCATAAGCAGAGAATCTAGCAATGGCATGGCAGCTCTACGGACATCATATTTGGTGGCATTCTCTGTTTCTGTGATGTTCCCTACTAGACATGCAGTATTTTCCCCTTAACAGCACTCACCTGTGCTGTTTGGTTTCATAAAGTCAACTGTTGGACAGCGAGAACACTTTAGTGCAGCCGTTACAGGGAAAATCTCACTCATGGAGCATATCTGAGTTCGTGAATTTCTTCCTGGTTGTGGTGCAGGACAGGAGCCTGCTCCAAATGTCTTATTTTTGTTGTTCACACTGAACAGTACATGTGTGTTCAGAAACAAAATAAAATTGAGCTTATCTGGGGCTCTTCTGTGCACTCCTCTGCTGGATCTGTGCTCTGAGGAGAGGTGCAGGAGGGTCCTCCATGGGGGAGATGGTAGTATGTGCCTTGTGGTGGTAGTATCTGCGGGGAAGATCACAGTGTTTTTTAAAGCACCCATACTCTTAGGACAGGGGATGTTGTACAGAAGCCTGAGTGGCTTTCTGCTGTCCCAGGGCAGCACCTACAGACCAAAACCCATAATGTAGGTCTTCCTACAAATACTCCTAGAGATACCATGCCTGCTTCCGGAGAGCTTGAAGGCTATCAGAGATGTCATTTTAAAAACAGTAGTGGCCATAAGACCCACTTCTTGTGAGTGAATGAAATTTTGCAAGCTGCCCTTTTCCCAACGTGTGACCTGAGTGAAAACTCTGCCGTATGTTATGCTACTCTTCTTACCATATCGCTATCATGTTTTTTCATGTACTTTTAGTCACTGTATTTCTGACCCACGCAACTTTTCAGAAAAAGGTGATAACTGGATTTTTCCCCAAACAGCTGTCAAATGTTTGCTTATTTCTTAATTTGGAACAGGTCCTCCAGGAGTGAGTGGGAGCAAAGGTGAAAAAGGAGAAGGTACTGGACTTCTAGTCATTCTTCTAGCCCTTCCCTTCTTGCATGGGAACTCTCACATCAGGATTAACCTGTCTCCCAGGCACACCTGAGTGACTGAAGCGTACCTGTAGCACAGCTAGCAGATCTGACCTGGTTACACATCGAGCAGTTGCACTGCAGAGCCTGAGCTGCAGACTGGGCTGTCTCCACAGCCAAGGCTGGGTTGTGAATTGTTTTGATTTGTGCTACAGGGACCTTGTGGTCTTTCCCAGGCTACAGCCACTGGGGTGGAAACACTCATCTCGGTCTGAGTGGTTGCTGTTTATCTTTCAGTGTGTGTGGAGGGGGGTTGTGTTTTGGGGTGGGGTTGTTTTGTTTTGTTCCCCTCCTCACATCCATGTGATTAGTACAGCTATTTTCTTCTGCTCTGACCTGTCAGGCCACCACAGTCACCTCATACGAATCGTTGGAGGGAGCAGGAAGGGTCGCGTGGAAATCTTTCACAACGGCGTGTGGGGAACAATATGTGACGATGACTGGGACAGCAGAGATGCCACCGTGGTCTGCCGCATGCTGGGTTACAGTCGCGCAGTCAGCACCTTCACTGCCAATGCAGGTGAGTCCCTAAAGGCCTCCCAGCTTCCCACGTGGGTCCTTGTGGCAGAGGGGGCGTTGCCCATCCAACACAGGGAACCCGCAAAGGACCACAGCAAGGCCCTTCGCCCAAGCAATGGGACAGCAAAGATGACTATCTCAAAGGGACAGTCCTTTCTGCTCAGGATGATGCAGGTGCATGTAAAGAGCTATGCCAAAAAGCTTGATCTCCCATAAGCAAGTCATTAAACCCAACACAGGCTTACAAGCCATAGGGCTCTCTTTAGAAAAGTGTATATTCCTGTTACTCCTGTTTCCCTCGCCCAACAGTGACTGACTCTTTTTTCTTTTTCTTTTTTTTTTTTTTTCTTTAACTCATCCTTCAAAGGCACTGGAGAAATTTGGCTTGATGATGTGAACTGCAAAGGGAATGAACATTCGATTCTCGACTGTGCAAAACGGAGCTGGGGTACGCACAACTGCTCGCACAACGAGGACGCTGGGGTGGAGTGCGCCTGATGAGACTCGGGAACTGCTGTTGTAAACTGCTGCCTGGCCTGTGTTGTGCACGGTGCTGCTATCTTTGTGCTTACGACGTTGTTCTCTTTACCTGTTCTTTAAACCTTCCACGAATCAGCAACAGTCACCAGATCTGCATGTCATTTGAAAAATCCCATCTGCCACAGAAGGGCACGAGCTCAGACACACGATCTGGCTCATGGCTCTACAAGTGACCTGGCACCCATGCTTATGCATGGGACTTCTAAGTCCACAGCAAAGGAGAGATGGCGTGCTTTAACTTAGCCTGCGGTAAGAGAGACCAGGTTAAGAGTGTGGGAAAGAAGTTACTATTGCTTAGCTGACCTAACATCTGTATCCCGATCATGAATCTGAGCGTAAAACCCCCCAAGCAAAGTGCATGTACCTATGACAGCAGAAATCATCAGATGATCAAACTGACATGCAAATGTAACTCTGCTCCAGAGGAGAAAGATAATCACAAGCTGAAGCACTAAAGTAAGTGCCTGAGGACCAGGTGCCGCCTGCTCTGGTTCAGCACAGACTGTTTTCTTGGCCTGTCTGCGGGAGCAATAGTGCTTTGGTATATTAACCTGGTATAGGAAACTAAGCACTCTCAAGTCTTTGAGATGCTCCAGTAAAAGGAAGGGATGATGAATCAAAACAGTAAGGGGGAAGTACCTGCTAATTAAACTTTCAGAGTGAAATTACGGATCCCACATCAAAGGCTTTTACCTTAATTGAGGGTGTTATATGGAACAATGCTTGCAAGAATAACTGAAAGGCTTCTTTTTTTTTTTTAAAGGTTCAACTATGTTCCTTCCCATTGCATAGCACTCAACAGCTGGCAGGGGACCAGCAGCCTGTACATAGCTGTGCACATTGCAACTTGCTTGTGGGTGTTTTGTTTAAAATGTAAGGAATACAATTAAGGAAATCCTCATGTCTGCTTTAATGTTGGTCATAATTTCACTTTTCTAGATGGTGTTGAAAATTGCTTTTTAGATATAAGTAGGAAAAACCTCTGAGTGGTGACCATCAGAGGAGCAGGTGCCAGGGCATCCAGGGCCAATGTAAGGAGAAGACCCAGCAGAGTACAGGGTGTCAGCATGTCCAACAGTACACAAAACTCATCGCAAAACTATCGCAGTGCTAAATGAGAGGAAATAGTGGTTAGAGGGTCTCAGGCTTCAGGAAAGAAGTCTGGAAAATCCCTAGTGATTTCCGCTGTCCGCTTTGATGCCTTTGGCAGCAGGAGAATGAACTGGGCCAGTTACCGTTCCTGGCTCTGGCACAGAGAAGGCAAGGACCAGCTGCTGGAGAACAACAGATAAAGCCTGATGAATGACAAATATTCCGAAGCTCGTGGAGACGGAGAGTTGCTCATCCAAATGAGAAGCGAAGGAAGCTTTCTGCTGTGTTAAGGCACTCGCCCAGCATTAACAGCACGTTGAGTAAAGTAGCTAGCAGCTAGTAGTTTTCCTCAGGCCTTCCCAGGGTGAAAGTCCTTCCTTTTTTTGTGGCAATATGTAAATGGAAATAAAGGATTTACAAGCCATTTTCTTTTCTTGCTACAGCAGGAGATGCCTGCTTTTCCTCGTGTTTTCTCACTTTCCTCGCTAATGTGGTAAGTTCCTCACTGTTTTTCCAGACTAAGTGCTGAAACGTTCAGGTTTTTTAATCAGGCAAAACTGCCACTGAAGGTAAGATCCCTCACCATGGTCCACTGTGGTGACTCAGAAAACACAGTTCCTTGGCTGTGGTGGCTTAAATACTGTGAGTCTCAATCTGCGCTTTGGAGAATGCCCAGCCAGAAATAAGCAGTTGTATCAGGTTTAACACCAAGACACCTGGGGTTAGATTGGATCTAAGCCTACTCTCAAATTCTGCCTTACAGGTCATGCTATTTAAACACAATCAGTGACCATCGTCAGGACAAGAAAGCCTGCTGTGTTTGGCACTTTACTGCAGGTGTGCACATGGGTGCCAAGAGCCAAGGATGCTATAGTCCACTTGTCCACTCCTGAGCACAACGGGGACAGACTGAGCCCAAGCTACTGTCCAAGAGTGTGGAGAACCCTTAGAGAAGCAGTAGCTGAACAGGATTAAATAGCAACAGCTGCTAGATGGTGCAGCACAAATGTTTTACAGGGGCTCTTCATACGTCAAAAGCAGAGTGAAACCAGAAAAAAGACACTAATGTGGTCACTAAAGCAAGAAGAAATTCTTCACGGTTCTCCCAGCTTTCTCATTAGTGGTATGTGCTTAATAAGGTACGTTTTTGCTCTGAGGAGTTGGTTGTGCTAAATTAACTTCTCCATCACTTACCATCCCTATTGCCATAAGCCCATACCTCTCTCCTGGCTCCTGTGCACACTCAGACTGTGAGAGCTGCAGTCACTTTAAGCTGACCATATTATCAGCTGTCATCCTGGCAGCTATGCAGAGAGGCAGGGGCCGGGACTGATCCTTGTGAAAATTACCTCGTTTAAAAAAAAAAAAAAAAATCAAAACCCAAATCACTGAATTTTAGTTAGCAGCTCACTGTGCCAGCATAAGAGAGATTTTAAAAAATTTAAATTTTAAAATCATGAAAGACAAACTAAAACAAAAAGTTGTGTGAGAACATTTCCAAGGGAGGGGGCACACTTGCAAGGACAGAAAAACAGGTTGTTTGCCCCCGTTGTAACATCCAACATAGTTTGCGTACAGCAACTTTTACTGGCTGATGGCCTAACCTGGTAGCTATAGCTGTTCATTGATGGCTTTTATGCTCGAGGAGCAGAGGTATGGCTTTAAATTATTTTAAACCTTTCAAGTAGCCCTGCATCTTCAGACCGCCTTACAAAGCTGTTTTGGAGACTTAGATTTTTCCCCGCTTGTTGTGCCAATAGTGTCAGTAACCTGCAAATATACCAGCGTGCCTCATGTCCAAGAGCTTCTCTGTTAATTTGCAGCTCTTACCTCTCCAGTTTTGAAGAATCCAGATTAGTTCATCGGAAATAATAGCAGTGGGGATTTGGGGGTTTGCTCTGCTCTGCAGAGGTTTGGTATAGGCAGTTCATGAAACAGACTCCAGCTCATTTAAGCGGTATCAGCGCAGACGTTATTGAAGAGATCAGGGTGACAGCCTGGGGTGCAGTCCCCCACTCCTTCGTAAAGTTGTTGTACGACTCTAGCATGTTCATACGCTCTTATGCGGACCCCAGAGGTACATATATATAAGCCGTTAGGGAGGCTGACGGCCTGTCCGTATCAGGCTGCACGCTTGTTTCGTGCAGGACCCAGGAGAGGAAGAGTCAGAAATAAAATTTCAAAGATTTCCAGCCCAGCTTCAGCAGGCTCAGAAGTTCTCACTAAATCTCACACTTTTCGTTCAGATCCCAGCTATCTGTGGCAACTCCTTGGCTGCCATAAATCGGTGTATCGCTGCTCTTTTGTTCGGGAGAGGCAAGAGAGGCCCTTATTTAATTCCAAACGGGGGGGAGGGGAGGGAGGGCAAAAAGACAGTGATTTCTTAAATACCACTGGACACAACCAGCACGGGGAGAGGTGGCTCCGAAATACCCAGAGTTTCCTGCCAGACTCAGGCCTTCCCGGCCGGCCAGGGCACCTCGCCGAGGCCGGAGGGAGCGCTGGCGGCCC